GTTCTTCTTCTGTCTTCACAAAACAAACCACAAAAACTTTATTTTTTTTCGCCTGCGGCCACCATTCTGCTTCTTCTTTCTTCTTTCTTCTCCTGCTGCTGCTGCTGCTCCTGCTGCTGCTGCTGCTGCTGCTGCTGCTGCTGCTGCTGCTGCTGTATCTGGTTGCATTCATAATATCATTGAACCTCTGTTCATCTATCATTAATTTTAAGTAGCCTGGGTCCCCCCCCCCTTCTCTCGGTCTCAGCTGTATAGGCAGCTCATATGCAGTACCCACAAACAGCTCTTCTTCTTCTTCTTTATAACGATATGCTGCTGCTGCTGCTGCTGCTGCTGCTGCATCGTCATCGTATTCATCATCGTCTTCATCATCTTCTTCATCATCATCCTCATCGTCCTGCTGCTGCTGCTCCTGCTGCTGCTGCTGTTGCTGCTGCTCCTGCTGCTGCTGCTGCTGCTCCGGCTGCTGCTGCTCCGGCTGCTGCTGCTCCGGCTGCTGCTGCTGCTGTTGCTGCTGCTGATCATTCTGGTGTTCTTGCTGCTGGGGCTCCTGCTGCACCTGCTGCTGACCCTGCTGCAGCGGCTCATGTTGCTGCTTGTGCTGCTGCTGCTGCTGCTGCGGCTGCTCCTGCTGACCCTGCGACTGCGACTGCGGCTGCTGCTGCTGCTGCTGCTGCTGCCGCTGCTGCAGCTGCTGCTGACCGTGCTGCTGCTGCTCCTGCTGACCCTGCTGCTGCTGCGGCTGCTGCTCCTGACCCTGCTGCTCCTGACCCTGCTGCTGTTCCTGCTGACCCTGCTGTTGCGGTTGCTGCTGCGGCTGCTGCTGTGGCTGCTGCTGCTGACCCTGCTGCTGCTGTGGCTGCTGCTGTTGACCCTGCTGCGGCTGCTGCTGCTGTTGCGGCTGCTGCTGCTCCTGTTGCAGCTGCTGCTGCTGTTGTTGCTGTTGCGGCTGCTGCTGCTCCTGGTGCTGCTGTTGCAGTTCTGGCTGCTGTTGCTGCTGCTGCTGCTGCTGTTGCACATTATCTTCTTTGTGTATTTCTGGTTGTTTATATTCTTCTCTCTCTCCCTCTTCTCTCTCTCCCTCTCTCTCTCCTTCTCCCTCTCCCTCTTCTCCCTCACCATACTCCTCCTCATCGTCTTCATCTTCATACTCTTCATCTTCTTCATCATCATACTCATCATCATACTCATCATCATATTCATCTTCATCATCATATTCATCTTCTTCGTCTTGGTCGTATTCATATTCATCGTCGTCATCGTAGTATTCATCTTCTTCTTCTTCTTGTTCTTGTTCTTCTTGTTCTGTTGTTTTGTTTGCTGGTGATGCTGGTGGTGCTGGTGCTGCTGCTGCTGCTGCTGCTGTTGGTGGTGATGCTGCTGCTGCTGCTGTTGGTGGTGCTGGTGCTGGTGGTGGTGTTGCTGCTGTTTCTACTGTTTTTGCTGTTTCTACTGCTGCTGCTGCTGTTGCTACTGGT